AAGCAGAGATGCTGAAGGTTCTCATTCTGAAGTAAAGCCCTCTGACATTCAACAGAAAGGTCACATCAGTCATTAGCGAAATGAACACTAAGTCTATAAATAGTGCTGTTTTTTACAACACTCAAAATGAAGGAAAATGCATAGATATTCAGGAGCAAACATAGAGCAGATTTTGTGTGTTTATGCTTCCTCTTTACTTCCTAGCAGTACTAATAAGAAAAAGGGCTGTTGGAAGTGGAGCTGGGAATACTTTCTCCCCTAGTAAGATGCCTGAAATTCTGCAGTTGGGCTGAAATCTTGAGAGCTGTCCATCATCTGCCAGCTGGAGCCCTTTCTAACCTTCAGTAACACTTGCTTAGCAATTCTCACAAACTGAAGTGGAGGTGGAGCTCCTTTAGTACTTGATAATTTTTTTCCCTCCTAAATAATCTATGGCTTGTTTCCTTTGAAGCAAGGATTCAAAACATATTCTCTGAAGATAGGAAGATGTTTTTGAACAGGTTTTTGTTATTCTAATATTAAGCCCAGCAAAATTTAGTCAGTTTGAAACATTTTAGACATTTTTTTGAAACATAATTTAGACAGTTTGAAACATTTTTGTTTGTTTGCCTTAATTGATAGTCCTTCCCCTCTAAAGTATTTATCTGTATAGACCATATCACAGCCTGTGATTAACAAAGCCTTCCCATTCATTGCAGCTCTAGAGTAGCCTGCGTTTGGGCCCTTAGCTGAGCACAGGGAGCAAAAGTAGACGTGACACATAGGAAGGAGGAGGAATAGACATCAGTAGGTGGTGCAAAATCTGAGCTGAAGGTAGGGAATTTAGAAGGAGCGGGTGAGAAGCAAACACGGGATGGTGAACTGCTGCAAGATGAGGGTGTTAACAGATGGATTAGGAGTCACCAGAGGAGGATATAGGAGTGTGTGGGATAAGAGTAGCATAGTTGCATAAGCCTGCAATGAGAGAGCCTGGGATTGCGTGCAGAATATTGTGGGATGAGGATGGGGGATGGACCTGTAGGGAGCAGGGCCCTGTAGCAAAGAACTGTCCCAACTGTGAAGGACCCTGCTCGTCTTTTTTACCTCTTGTCACAAATTGAGAATTGCCCTGTGGGCTTAGCCTAGTGGTCCTCACAGCAACACCCTTGCTCTGGCAGCGGCAGTAGGAACACACTGTGTAGAAAGTGGCCAGGCTGAATCTGTCCCGCTGCCATCCATTTCCATGGTGTTTCTCCAAACCTATAATTGTTGTAATGGGGTTGTTAGAAGATACATCCTTTCCTGTTACTTTTAGTGTCCATTTGTGTACCTGTTGTCCAGTAAAAGTTTCCATAAATATCATTTGTGTATGTTGTAGTTACTGAAGTTTCTTGAGCTCAGGGCTATTTGAGCGTATAAATACAGGCTGTAAGTATATGTAAGTATATGCCCATGAGCATCTGAGCAGAGCACATTATCCAGCACTCCGTACTTTATCTTTGCTTTTAAACTTGTAGATCTGTGTGCGAACGGTTTTTGTTTTCTTCAGCTGAAATTGCTACCAGAACTGCCTGCCAGAGACGACCTGGCAAAATATCCTTAGAGAACTGACTTTTCAAATTATCTTATATGAAGTATTTTATCCTGCTTTTCCGGTAAATGTTTTATTTTGTTTGTTTTGAATTCTCTCTTTTTTTCAAAAAGAGGATTTACTTTTAAATATTAAGCACTTGGTTTCTTGATTCAGTATAAGGGGAGAGGAATCACTAATGAAAATATGTGAGAATGAGATGTGTGGTTTGTAAGAAGGTTTAGGGATTAAAAAAAGGAGGAAAATTGGTACTATAATACCAATTGAATTAGTTGAACTGATGGTGTATCAGGGGATGTGTGGCTGTATGTGTATCAGTTTGTTGGAAGGGAAGTCATGGCTCATTGCAGTAGCTTTGGAGCAGCATGGCACTAGTTATCTCTGGTGTTTCTGCAGTGCAAGCTGCTGTCTTTGCCTTGCATAGTAGCATCTCACTGTGCTGGTAACCTGCAGTGGCTTCAAGCTGTTGTGGGCGTGTCTGTGCTTGTGGTTGAACATGAGGTATATGCCTCAAGTTAGGGAAAAGGAGAGACAGAAGTATACTGAAGGGTGAAAGTGAAAGATTAACTGTTGAGTGTTGTGTTGTTTTGTTTTTGTTTTGAGGGGGTACTTTTTGCTGAGATACAGGTGTATGGCTGAGTTTAATCAGCTTCAAGTTGCTATAGAGGGCATTATTCAGCACGTCTCTCTTGCAAAACAAAGAATCATACTTCAGGTTGCATCCTCCACAAACATAGCTCTGTCTTGTAGTTTCAAAATGTGAAAACAAATGTGTTCACGTTTAAACACTTGGCTTGTATAGAGGAGGAACAAAAAGTTTTCGTCTGTGAGCACCTCCTCTTTTTTAAGCATAGTAAACATGTTAGACATCTTAAATTATTGCCTTCGTATTAGCTCTTTGTAGTTTGACTTGCATATAGTGTCTTGATTTATTTCTCCCACACAGTGGATCGCAAAATGTATTTGCTTTTTTTTTATTATTAAGCTGGGTGACATCCTAGCCGCTGTGACTCTCCTCCTGCTTCCCCCCTCACCCAAAGTTTAATGTTTACTTTAAAGCTACTTTTGATTCTGGCTCTACTGTCTGATGTTTTATATGCCTGTCATTCCTTGCCTTCCTGTTATTGCAATTGGCCATGCAGTTGTATTTCTGAATATTTTTATATGCTTGTTATGACATCAGTTTAAGTTGAGAGCAAAACAGTTGGTGTAATATGCATCAGATTGAGAAAGGAAAAAAATATGCATTTTTTTAATGTGTAGGAAGAACTCACGTTGAACTTTCCTTTTGTCATGTACTTTCACAAATCACATGTGTAAGTGTAACAGTGTACTTGTTTGTGCTTCATTAGAAGTAATTTACTGATATTGGAGTGAGCTGGAAATGGCTGTGTTTCAAGATTAGGGCCGAGTACTCTGTGCAGTTTCCTTCACTGTTGCTGTTCCCCAGTCAGAGTGTGCAGCTGGCTCCTGTTGTTCAGCTTAGAGCTACAGTCTGGAATATTTGTACAGTCAGAACGTGGCCATTATGTTCTCTGAGGAGCTATAATCTGAGACATTTGCTCTGTAAAGCCCAAAATAAAATAAAAAAAAAGAAAAACTATATTGCTACTTTTGGTTACTTTACTTTTTAGTATTGTTTATGTGGCTTCCAATAAATTAAGGACTTTCATTTCTCTGTTCTAAATGATCTACTGTAAGTATATTATATGCAGTGCCACATTTTTTTTCTATCAAAGAAAAGGATTTTTTTTCTTAACAGGGAGAAGTTCCGACTTTCTCCTTTAGAAAAAGTTTTAAAATTAAGAATGATCATTAAATGGAATTCCATTGCAAGCTGAATCACTATCAGGAATAATGCTGCTCTGTTTATGGTGTTTTTATTTTTAAAGAATATAGTTTTAATGTAAAATAAGTGACTTACAGAGCTATAGACTTCCTCAAAATAACTGGCTCGTATCTATATTTTCTATTTGGATTTCTCTACTGTAGAAGCAGAATTTAAAATTGATGCGTTTATTTGCCCTAATAATAGCCAGCTGGTTAGAGCTGGATTTCCCATCGCTATTCCTGGGATGCGTCGTGTTACCAGGGGAATGCCAGGTCGGTGCTCCCCAGGATCGCGTCCTGCGCGGGGGCGCGCGCAGGGACATGGCCTGAGCAGTTAAAGGTAGGAGGTCATGACTGCCCAGCGTGAAACCCAGTCAGAGAAGTGGGCAGAAAACAGCCATGGTGCCACCCAAATGTCTGCTAAAGGTTAGGAAAGGTCAGGCAACTTGATTTACCAATCAGGTATTAGTCATTTGCTCTGTAGTTGTATCTAATGCCTAAAGCTCCTATTGTGACAGGATTTATATACCCAGCCCACAGGAACTGCAAATTCCAATACCGATTATAATGCAAATGTACTATAACCTACTTGAAATTCTTATTTCGACATGAAAATTCACTTTCTAAGAAAAAAATCTTGAATTATAGTTGTACATGTAAAAATAATAATAAAAATAGTGTCAGTTATGCAGGTTTTGACAATTATATACTGTACGCTTTCTTAGTGTACAGTTCAGGTTTCAGGGAAATAAAATTAACTAGCATATTTTTCTGGTTTGGGAGGTCGGGGGAGGAATCTGTAAGCAGAACTTTATTTTTTGATGGAAGACAATAGGCCTTAGTGTGTCGCTGTAAATTCCCTGAACAGAATTCCACCTGCTTATTCAGCATCCCACCTCAGGGGGGAGGCATTAATATTTAGTTTTTAAGGTCTTTTTTTTTTCTTCTGTCCGCATAATAAGCATCATGTTTTAATTGAAATAATGATGTTTTAAACTGGGGGAGGAAGACACTGAAAAAAACAAATGATTTTTTTTTCTAATTCCCTTTATAAACTGTTTTCCTCCCCTCTTATTTTTTAGGATGTTTTCCTAAATGATAATGAAAAGTATAAACTCCACCTTAAGCAGGCATTGTCTGATGAAACCTCTGAGGCTTTCATTTGTACTGCTCAACCATTAAAATAATTCTGTCGCTGTTACCTGTTTTCAATTTTAATTTTAACTTAAGAATGCAATGGCATATAGGTTTTAGGCTTGAGATCTAACTTCACCGTAAAGAAATGTTGTCAATGTGCATACATAACATTTCAACACTAGTGCATATGAGGCTAAAGTATAAAACCAATGCAAATGCAGAAGGTGAGTGCAGAAGATATGTATGTTTATACAGAAAATTACAAGGGATGAAAGATTTTTTTTTTTAATCTTATTTAATACATATGCATCCAAAACACAACTGGAATATAAATTTAAGTTGTAAGTTATATATAATACGTATATTTTATATAAGAATAGTGTATTAACTTTATAGAGTGAGATAAATATTTGTGTATAGTCTAATGTAAAATGTTTTATTTATCTTATGTTTATATTTGCAGATTTGTTCCTTACTACATCACCAGATTCAAAAAATATTGAATTTGAGACTTGGGTAAATAAGGTAAGGAGAAAAACAAAGTAACTATTCACTTAACACATAATACCTTAAGAAACAGATGAGGCTACCTGTCATTCCTGCATTTAGGAAGGAGTGGAAAAGATGGTAAGAGATGCTAACTGCAGTATTGCATTTGGTCTCAGAATATCACTGCAGCAGATTATTTACTCAGTATATATTCCTCTGCAGGATCTCTAGCATGACTATCAAGTATACCGTTCAACCAAACTTCATAAGACATTAACAGGACTCATTATATGACTTCAGATGTTCTAAGAGATTACTGACGCTAGTCAGCATGACATGATTTATGAAGAAGAGATTGAGCTTTTTTATTTTTTTCTTTTTAAAGCTGTGGCTTCAGGTCTCGGGTAAGATTTTGTGGGGCAGAGGTTTAAAAATCTCACTTCTGACCTTCAGACTATGTATTGCAGTTGCAGTTGGGAACCTCCTGGGAGTCCTACATTACCCAAATAGCACTCAAGAAGTTATTAAAACACTAAACAAACTAAAAAAAAAAAAGAGGTAACCATCTTCTTTTTGCCTGCTCGAAAGTTTTATGCCAGCGTATAGCAATCAACTACACCTTCAAAAATGGCTGGATTCTATCTGGCACCAGAAATAATGAGTAATAATGACAAAGATCATTTTTTTGTTGGTTGGTCTGTTTTCAGTTGTGCTTGTGATTTGCTTGACCTGTAGAAATGGCCAGGATCAGTGAAGAAGCTCATTGTTTATATCAGATAGTAATGTAAATTGATTTAAGGCTAAGTACTGCATCCTTTATTCCAAGTTTGCTATCCAAAAGGACTGTGGTTAGGAATCTTAGCATATGCATGTATTAAAAATTGCCTTTTTGTTTTAATGGATGATGATTAATGTATTGTTTTCTAATTAGCTGAGAAATTGATTTTTGAAGCTATATTTACCTGGAAATGTATCCATCATACCACAGGGAATCAGCGTGGAACTAGGAATATAATCCTGCCTGTGTCAGCATGGTGTTCTTCAGCCAGCTGCTGAGCTGGAAATCTTACAAAACAAAAAAGAAATGCAGCTTTTTTGTTTTTAGCCTGAGTGGTCTTCAAATGTAAGGAGATTTAAAAGAATAAAGGAAAAATTAAAGGAGTTGCTCATTATTTTTTAAAAAAATGTAATTTATTTATAAATACATCTAGTATACATAGATTAATTCTTTATTTAGAAAGATTGAATCCTGTGCTTTGAAATCATTCAGCCCAGGAAAATATGTATCTCAAATACATTTTAGAATTCTCTGTAGTACACATATCAATCTTAAAAGACCTCCATTGCTCTATCAGAAGCTATTAAATCTCTCTACAAAGGTGGGCAAAGTAATTGCCTTCACTGTATTATGCTATAAAATGCTTCTAAAATATTTGTCTTTATGATATCCTTTTCTTCTGGTCAGTTGAGCACAGGGCCTAATCTTCTTTACTGCATGGAGATGATTTACATGAATAAAGATTATGACCTCAAGCATATAACCAAATACACCATTTTCTTCTAAAGTGGTAAATATCTTGCTGCATTAATATGATGTATTAATTCACTAATGAAAACAGTAATATTGGAGTAGACATAATGACCATGAAAAACAGGTGTTGCATCAAGAGGTGTAATGTTGAAGCTTTGTGTTTTCCATTGATCTGTCTCCTTGAAACTTACCTGTAAGTATTGTCCAAGAGGCTACAGACATTATAAATTATATGCCAAGGAAAAAATATGTAATGAAACATTCAAGGAAAATCTGTTCTTGCTATCTGTAGTTCAAAAGACAAACTTTTATCACTTTGTCTACATTTGAGTTTTTCTGTTGTTTTTATCCTCTTGATAGGATGGGAATTTCTCTAAAAATGGAAAAAGTAAGGAAAAACCTGAGGGTATGCAGATTGTTGGACAGTCTGTTTTTGCTGATTTTGGTGAGTTTTATTTTCATAAACTACTGAGTGTTTATTAATTTGGTTAACTATTCTAAATCAAAGAACAAAGGAATAAAAAATTTAGTTACACAGCAATTAAAAAGGCCAAAGCAAAAATGACTTAAAATTATTTGTATAAAGATTCATGTAACATGGTAAAAAGTTGATAGTTTCAGTTGAAAATTCTGGAAATCTTCAGAACAGAAGAAAAATTTAATTTATATGCAATTTTTTTTAGCAAGTGCAGTAGCCTCAACTTGTCTATTATAAGGTACTTCAGTCAGTTGTGGCAGATCAATGTCTGTGTTGTTTCATGGACAAAAGGAAACAATGGTTTTCTGGTCCAAAAAAATCTTTTTTTTTTTTTTATTTCTTTTTTCCTGTGTACTAAAATCAGAATTTTGCTCCCCAAGTAAGTGATACAAGGCTAATCCTGCTGACGGTATTGAAAGGTCGGTCCCTTTTTAATTGTCAGCCTGAACTTGCCTTAAAATACTGTCACATGGTAACCTTGTTACATCATTTTGATTTTAACATCTGTGTCATTTATTTAAGAATCAGACTCCATATCACAATCTGGTTCTGTTGTTCTATACTGCCACTTAAGTATATTCTACAAATATAAAGAACACATTTTAATTTTTTATATATATATTGAGGATTTTTGTAACCATTTTCCAAGCTGATGTTCTGAAATGTAATTAGTAATAGGTGCTAAGCATATGTCAGATTTTATTTTGAAGAAGGCAATGGGTCAAGCAATCTTTATGTAGGAATTACTTCATCTCTGTGTTAGGTAGCTAATGAGCCCAAATGATACATGCTTCTAAACACTATTGTAATTAATGGGATTTTAATAAACCCTGGGATATCTTCACCAAGAAAATTTGGAACTTTTCAAACACTAAAGAAAAGTTAAAATTTTGGAGTATGTGCATATGGCTTGTCATCTTTAGCTGCATGGAAAGAGTTGAGCAGTTATCTAGAAGTTTCTAGAAGTAGAAGTCTTTAATTGAAATTGTGTCTATGTGGAGAGGAGATTTACTTTCTCCAAGCGGAGTCTTTAATTGCAGGAAAAGGAGGGAAGAAGATTTGAGATTGTTTTCTGGACTTGGTAAGGACTGGATATGATGGCTTACAGACTTCCACCTTGGCAATGGAAAATAATTGGTAGAGAGCTCTGAATCTCTGTATGTGGAAGATAAGGAAGAGAATTAGCATCCACAGTTAGGTCTGAGGAACAAATGTTACAGAAGCTTTGTATTGGCTGTGAACTTTGGCGGCTTTTTTTTTTTTTTCTCTCTTTGATTCTTGTTTTCAATCAGGCTTTACAGTTGCCTGCATCTTCCTCTAAATTCCTCGTCTATATTTTCATTTTCTTAACCCTGTAGAAAGAATACTATAAACATAAATTTTCTGTAGATGATCAAAGTTTACTCTGACAATTATGAAAGAAATTTTCAACTTTTGATTTCAAACTTACTACTTGAGGATTATCTGATTTTAATATCTAATTCTTCCTTCCTCTGCTGTAATAGTGGGTAAGAAATCGAGTGGTGCATCAGGTTATTTTTCCTCATCTTCCCAGCACGAGTTTTACAATAATCAACCAAATCAATTGTTATTTTCTCATTCTACAGAGTTTTTGAGAATACTGAAGTAAATAAAGTACTAAAATGATATGTACAAAAAATGAAGCAATGTATTTTTAGAGTCCACATTCTTTGTAAAGGAAGTCAAATAATAGCTGCCATCCCCCAAAGAAGCCGTGCCCACATCTAAATAGCTCTCTGTAAGAATTGCCCAGGCAACAATCAATGGCAGGAAGGAAGCTGGAACGCAAAGGAGGATCTTAGCTGAGTTGTTAGTTTTAGTTTTACAGATTTTTATTCCATGCTAATCTAACAATGAAGAGGCAGGATCTCACATTCACACTGTTGCTCTGTATCAGATTACTTTCACCTACTGCACAATGTTGGTTTGTATTTAGATACTTCAAAAGATAGGTACTTACAGTATAGGTTCTGCTTGCAGAGTACTGAAGTTAAAGAAAAAGCCTTGCTAGAAAAGATTTGTCAGACATAAATATCTGTTTTTTTCAGTTTTCATTGTTTCAGAAATTATGAAATAGTGGTTGTCATAAATCAAAAGAAATCTTAAGGTACGATACGTTGTAGTTGTAAATAGCACCTTCCAAAATGAGGCTTGAAAGAAGTTTTGCTGCAAAAAGAACCAAGTGACATCATAAGAATATAAAATGAGGTATGTTAAAAAGTTGTACTGCCATTTACCTAAATAGTTCTTGCCACAGTGCATGTTGTGCAGTAAGCAGAGAGTACCAGAGCTGTCAAGGTGTTTGGCAAGCAGAAGCGTCTTCACCATCGGCATAGATACACAGCTGTTCTGACTGGGAACACGCCTGGTGCAGAGTTGCCAACAAACCTGTCTCTCTCTTCCTCCCCTTTCTCTCTTGGCATTTTCTGTACTTTATCACTGAGGACTTTTGCTGTCCCCTAAAGGTCCCTTAAGAAAAGGATTTCCTCTCTGCTCTGGGCTTTCACCGTCCTTGCCACTTCTCATCTACTTAACCACGTGCACACCTGACTCTGCAGCTCTGTGAGGCCCCAGCCTGCACTGGGAGATGTCGTTTGGATACTTTAGTCCTCACTCGTGGGCACATCTGCCTCTGCGTTGCTGCACTTTTGTGGTCAAGATCCTGATTTAGTGATGACACTAGCAAAACGTGTTCCGTTTCAAAACATGACTTTGCCCAACATTATTTTCTGAATATATCGTCTGATATACTGTCTGAATTACCTTTGCCAGTAGTAAATGATTTGTTGTCTTTAGAAAAGAAGGGAGAAGCTTTGAATAAGACCTGCACTGGGAACATCTAGGGGTAGCTAAGTTGGGACAAGCTTCCCTTAAGCAAAAGTTATCGGGTAGACTCAGGTAAGTGGAGTTGAAAACACAAGTTAGGTGATTTTCAACAATTATCACAGTTGTTAGTGTAACCTTAGCACCAACTATCCTTAAATTAGTCATATAGTAAAGATGGACTTTTTTTCCATGAAAAAAAGATATGCAACTGTGTGTGTATGCATATACACACATGTATATGCCTATACCAAATATATAGATATATATGCCATACATATGTATATACTTATGCATGTCTTTCAAGAGCTACAAGATTGTCATATATGCATACATATATATATATATACACACATACGTACACACACTCATAGATACATAAACATACACATGTGCATGATTTTCCATGGAAAAAATAACATATTTATAGAAATGTACTCAACCTTATACTTTGTCAAAATCATACCTTCTAAAATAAGTAGCCCTCTCCTCTGTTAAATAATGGCAGTAGTTTGTATGTGGCCAAAGGACAGAAAATGATTGGCAAAGTTGTGTTGCCCTTTTAAAATACATCAGAAATACTTTGCAACATATTTATTATAAATGGCAATTCAATTGATTAAGGTGAACAGAGCTATGTGCTAGAGAATTCTGCACTTACATGGCTGACACATTGCTCCAAACAGGTAGGAGCTCTTCGTTATTACTTTTTTCTATTCTTCTCATGTCACTATAGTAATTGCAGAGCTGTGGTTGCTATAGCAAAAATGATTAATCCTGCTTTGTTGTTGTCTATATGCTAGCAGAGGCTTTTTGAAGGGTCTGCTGGTACTGTCTTTAGCGGCAATCGTAGATGTTGGGTGGCGTTCCAATACTTACTTACATTTAGGGATAGTTTTAATAACTTGTCGTTCGAAATAGTTTAAAATATTTGTATTCATTAAAGAAAGCTAAGGATTTCTATGGAGCATAATTGAAACATGACCAGTTATTTTTGAATAGCAAGATGCATGTGAACTGTATTTTGGACATACAGACCTGAAGATTTTTTCTTACTGCATTGAAGATTAACAAAATATGTCTTTAAAGGAGTGTCCTAGAAGCAATTAGCATAGAATATTATGCTCTCCATCTAGCAAAAATGTATTTTTACTGACAGTGTTAAAACTGATAGTAAGCTATGTAGTTGATTTAGCAGAGATTTATAAATTATCCCCTGTCATATCTGATATATGAATTGAATTGTTTGATTCCTTGCTATCTGATTTTGCTTAGTTTAGACTATGAAATTTGTTGCAGCTTGGATATAAAGAGAACCAGTAGTAAATTGGTTGTCCAAATTAAACCAGTTCATACTGCTGACAACGTCCTTGTAAGTACATAGGACATGACTCTCACTTTGTGGGGGTAAGATTTAGCTGACTCCCCCTAGCTTCTTTAATTTTTATTCATCATTTGTTTCTTAGCTGTTACTGGGTTGCCATCTGTCTGATGAACTCTAATTTTTTAAGTCTGCATTTGCAATGCAAAGATACTTACTTTTTGACACCTCATGGGTGAGAATTACTTAAATTCTACTTTTTTGAGACCTGAATTCATTTTTTTCTGATGTTTAAAAGCTAGTTATCCAACTAGTAATTTTAAAAATAATATCCTTTGTTATTCCTTCCACCCAGTAATTGCTTTCAAGCATATTAACTACTTAAATGATAAATGACAGAAATTGTCATTCTTCTCCTAGAAAGAAATGGTAGATCCTTGTTGCTAGCTGATTATGTTTAAACAGGATACCTGAAATTGCCAGACATTAGTCTTTAAAGCCATTTGTTGTGCTGTGCAATTGGATTTTTATGAAAGATTCTTGGTTAAAGTAATTTTGATTATTGCAGACAAGATCATACATCTGCTGTTTTTCTGCATGCAGTTTTGTTTCTATGGTGTAGCTTTTAGTTCTGTATCAGAACTTCTTTTATCATCTGAGTTTTCATTAATTTTTTCCTTCTCTTGGAATCTCATATCCTCAGATATAGTAGCTATGTGTGAAAGACAAGCTTTTAATAATGCATCTCAGTAGATAACCTCTTTGGAAAGCAGTTCTCCTTTGAGTACTGTGTTGTGAAAGTCTGCTAGTGGTCCCGTAGTCAGCAGAAGGACTCTTTTACAATGCTAAGGTGGAAGATGATGATATTTCTGTGTTGTAAACCCTTTGCATATGAAAACTCTTCTCACTACCATTAATTTGGGTGAAACATTAGGAAACCTGATGCTACCAAAGAACTCTGCAACCTTAGAAAGGAAAAACTTGCTTTAGTGACAGATATGCATTGGTTAATCGGAAACAGTGGTGTATAGAGGTGTGCAAGTTAATTGCCCCTTGGGTTTTGAGTCCATGAGGAGTTAGAGAAAGTGCACTTAAAGGATATGGATGTCCTGTTTGTAACTGCTAGCCAGTAATACTGTTCAGTGATACCTGTCAAGTTTAAAAAAAAAAAAAAAAAAGCAACAAAAGCAACAAAAGTTCCCTAATCAAAAAATTATTAGTTTAGGTGGTTTTCTTTTTCCCAAGATTAAGAAGGAAACAGAAAAGCACTCCCCATTTGTTAGCAAGGTTTGATGCCATAACATCTCATAAATGTATAACCTTAGAGAAGCTGTGCAGTCAGGCTTTGTGGCTGCTCTTTTCACAGTACAAGATAGTTGGGGGTTTCAGCTTAATCTACAAGAGAAATTTCAAACCCACTTGTAGTGTGGTGTGCAGGGGGTGCTTCTTGTTTTGTATTTAAACTCCCCTCTTTTTCCTCCTTGGTTTCCAGTAGATACTCCCTTCTAAAGCCTTTTTCCGTTGAAGCTGGCAGCCCGCATGCCTGGCAAGATCTGCTGGAATGGCCTTCTTGCAGCGCCAGGGTTAATATGGATCCTTTGGAAAGATATAGACAGACTTAAAAGCAGGATTGATCTGCTGTGAAAGTGTGTTATGAGGGTTTTCTAAAATGTCCATAGAACTTTGAGTCATCTGTAAAAGCTCTTTACATCTGTTTTTTTGAAGTTGTGATTCACATTTTCTAAAAGCAGCTGACATTGATTCTTTTTATAATGCATAATTATCTTAGTAATTTATGATAATTATCACTGTCATGACCATCTCCTTGAACACCTAAAGGCAGAGTGTAACAAAAGAATTCTAATCATTTTACTACTTCAGAAGACAAATTTAAGTTAATCAGCTTTCCGATGAACCATTATTTTGTTTGAATATCAAGCTCAGTTGTGCTGGTTGTCTTTTTGCCTGTCCTGGAAGGGTATTGTTTTGAACACTGCTCTAGCAGGGCTTTTACCTCCTTATTTTACTACTTTTCTTCAGAACTTGGAATGTAAGGCTCATGAGGAAGGAAGATGAGAGCTGCGCAAAGGAGTGAGTGAGGGATGTGAGCAAACTCTAAGCATGGTGTAAGAGAAAGTAGGTAAAGCTGCATGAGGATGTGCCATGTTAAATGGGGATGCTCTGTGCTTACTTGAACTTTAAATCATTAACAGCATCTTGCTTTATCATAGAATCATTAAGGCTGGAAGGGACCTTTAGAGATCATCTAAGTCCAACCCACCTGCTCACGCAGGGGCACCTAGAGCACGTGGCATGGGACTGCATCCAAGTGGGTTTTAAATATCTCCAGAGAAGGAGACTCCCCAGCCTCTCTTGGCAACAAAATTGTTGTGCTCTGGAGATTTTTTTGTTTTCCCTCTCCTCACCTTTTTGAAAGGACCTATGCAGGTTGCTCTGACGAAAGACCTGAAACAGTATGAAGCACTAGGGCTAGTTGCTGCACATTAATGCTGCAATTTGAGTGTATAACACGTTTTAATAAATGTGCTGTTAATCTAATTTAAAAGCTTTGCTTTTTTTTTTTTTTTTTCTCCTCTCAAAATTACTTTTGGAATAGATAGAAAAGATCTGAACTTTTTTGCAAGCATGAACATTCATAATGAAAATTAAAACTTCATCTGCAGGTAATTTTTTTCACATACAGTCCCTCTGTGTGAGTTGTGCTCCCAGGGCTTCAGAGTCTTACTCTTGTTTGGGACTGGATCTGTAGCAGTGTGCAGGCATGGGTTAACTGTTGGAAAGGATTTGTGTCTGTGAGTTTTCTTTGAAACACAGTGAATAGGCAGTGGTAATCATTCTCATATGATTTCTGGGTTACCTAGGACTGCTAATTTTATCTTTATGTGTTTTTGACATAAGTACAGATTTGTAACTGATGAGTATGTATTCCCTTCCTTTTCTACTGTCTATAAAACTTGATTTTTATTAATGTAATTTTTAGTGAAACATTCAAGCCAGAATCGTATGTTAAGAACATGACATTCGAGCTTTCATTTGTACATGGAACTTGCTCTAAATTGAGAGGTGCTAGCAAAGGACATCTTGAGTCCGGAGTCACATTTAATCACAAATAAGGCTAAGTGAGTTTTCTACCAATTTGAACAGAGATCATGTGATATTTCTGCTGTAATAAAAAGATAGACTAGTAGACCCTAGGAGCTGAGTCAGGATAACAGATGGTCTCCAGAAATAGATGTCATGACTAGTTCCAAAACCTGACTCCCTAAGTCACTACTTGTGTTAGGATGAAACTGCAAACCAAATTTATGCTTGTTATGAGTTTTCAATGCTGTTTGTTTGACAAAATGAAGGCATTTTATTTGAGGATATTCAGATGGAGAATAAGATTGCATCAGCCACAGAACCGTACGAAAATGAATACAAATTACATGCACTTTTAACAAACTGTTAATATGCATCCTGAAAGGAAAAGAAAAGAACGTTCTTTTGGTGAATATAGTTTTTATAAAGTTCATGTTTATTAAAAAAAGAAGTTCTTGTAGGTGCGTGTGTGTGTATGGATGTCTGGTTTTAGCTAGACATAGGTTGAAAAACGTTATTAAAGCAGTGTTACACAAAGTGTATTTTCTTAATAATTTGAAACTAGCATAACTTATTTCAGCTGGTCTGGTGAGTTCATCCCATGGTTGTCACCAACATAATATTCATTAAGCCCAGCAGAGCTTTTTCCACCTGTGCAAGCCTAATTGAGCTGGAACAAATGTGGTAATGATACTCCTTTTTCATTTCTGCCTTCCTGTTTCTTTGTGGCAGAATTTAAATTCAAAGTTAGAGTTAAAAGTTAAAGGATATTTATTTAAATTGAAAACTAAACCAAGCATGAAGATGAGAGGAAAGCTAGAAAGTCGGTGTTAGCATTGTTAAGTGCATGGTAATTTAGTTGTTAGAGGAGAGCTTTCAGGAGCCCTGCTGGGTTTGTTGTGTGGTCTTCAAGATCTGTACGTAGGGTTGTGCCAAGAGGGAGCTGAAGGAAAGCCCCGCGGACTGTGTCTGCAGGATTTTAGGATCTTTCTTGGACTTTTTTTACATATAAGGTTTTTTTATTTTATTTTTTTTCTTACAAGTATGCTGTAACATAATAGTTACAGTAACATCTTACTAATCTATTTTTTAACAGTTAGATTCTTAAATATATTTTACACAGAATTGAAGGAAAAATGCACTGAAAAACATGAGCCTATGACTAAAATTACCTAAAGTTGACCGTAGATTCTGGTCAAAAGAAGCAGGGAAACTGCTTCTAATATAAAGTATGTATCATACTGGTTTTAGTTGCAGGGCAAAAATACACATGTTAATGTATATTTAACTTCTGCTTATTCTTTGATTGTATTGAAATCAATGTTTTAACCAAATCTTTTACAGATGTATGGCACTTAACCAGAAAAGCATATTTTTGTTAGGTGCTAGCTCCTTATCTAATTCAGTGAAAGGTCCATCCATTTCCTGCCCTATTAGTCTTCAAAGCTACTTCGCTTGCTCTTGTCATACACTGCAGCATTGCTGAACATTAATTACCAAGGCTAACAAATTGAGTTATCTCCTTACCAAGATGAATGTTGACAATTTAAGTAAAATCAAATGTTTTGTATTCTCCTCTACTCTACAGCTTAATTGTCATTATCCATTTATAACTAACCAGAAGCAGGAGAAGAGTTGAAGGTTCTTTGTTCTCATCATTTATTGAGAACCTTCTAAAATGACTTTAGACTGAAATTTCTGAAGAAAAGTGATTAGAAGATTGTGCCTTAATCTAAATTTTATATTTTAGAAAATGCCTACATTTCTGCAATTTAATTCTGTTCTAGCAATGTCTTCAATATTTCCATAGTTTATAATTTGCAAATTAAATCGTTCCTCCATTTTAAATTTAGAAACAGCCTGCAGTCTATATACTTATGCTAGTGCGTGTAAGCAAAAAGTTAGAAACAGCCTGCAGTCTATATACTTCTTATGCTAGTGCGTGTAAGCAAAAAATTAAAATTAGTAACCTCTTTTAATTGTTCTGCCGAAATGATGCAGAAGAGAAACAAAACAGCTGCATGCAGCAGATGTCCTGCAGGGAGTAACTAAAGGTGACAGTCTGACTTTATCACTTGGAGTTATTTGGGGTTGTCTAGTATATTCATTCTCCCCCCACCACATCTTACTTGCTGTTTCCCAGCTTCCTTACCCACGCATTAAAACTTTGTCTATATTATGTGTCAAAATGACTTTAACAAAGATGATCTTCAACCAAAAGACCCAAATTAGAGCTTACAAAGGTGAAGAAGTTTTAAAGGTCTTCATCTGATTTTTTTTACATTTTAAAACAATTGATCTTTTGAAAACAGGTTTTTCAATTTTGAAAATATGCAGCTGATAGTTGTTTTTCTCTTTGACAGATGGGGATGGACAAAGTGAACACCTATTACCAGTCTGTGAAGATCATAACTGTCAAAAAAGTGCCATCTACTTATCTAAGCTGGGAATGGATCAGGTATTTTGAGTTTGGAATTGTAAAGATAAAGGAAAATATTGTGTTTGCATAGAATCAGAAAAAGTATGAGAAAGGAAAATGGTTTTTGTTTTTTTTCAGAATTGCTGTGAAAAACAAACTTGCTCACCTGTAATGATAGACTGCAAGAGAGATTTTCTTTTGATCTGTCTAAATTATTTCTGGTGGGAAGAGTTAAATATTTAGGATTCTGTACAATCAATAATTCTTGCGAAACTATGCGCACTTCTAATGAGTCTTTTGCTTGCAATGCAAAAAGTTGCATTCTAAGCAGCATAGCTGCCCTACCACTAGATCAAAAATAAGTTTGTGATCAAGACTAGGAAACCGACTTAGTGAATAAAGATGAGATTATTTTGACGTAAATTAGGGAGCTGAGTCCTGTACTCAAAACCTGTGAAGGTTTAGCAGCCCACACATTTCACCCTCCATTTTCTCTATATCTTTGATATTTACTAATTCACTGTTTTTCAAGTATCAAGTTTCTGGGTATAAATGCCATTTTAAAGCATTTAATGCTTAAAAAATGCATTTAGGGAGTTATGTTTCCAAGTAGATATACAAAGACTAACTTATAGTATGTATCTTCAGACTTGGTCTTGAACACTCAAGGAACAGCGCATACTTTGGGAAGGTGCTTATAAAGGTTTGCAGCTCACATTTATAGTGAAGATCTTCTGTTTAAGAAAGATTTAAAAGATTTAAAAATATTTTTGTTCATTGCTGGATATACAGTATTACAGTATCGGGTGTGAGTATATGTCATGGACCTTGTGTAAAGTTAATAGATGCTTAAATTATGATATATATTTTACTTTGCAGTAAAAGAGAGGGATCGCTGACCTCTGAGTGTGTTTTGTTCATTAGATCACCGTAATTTGCCCCTTACATCTCATTTTTGAGTAAATGGGGAAGAAATTAGCATGAATGTCCTTATGTCTCAAGACAATTGTCTATTTTAACAAAGCACTAAATTCCTTACTCTTGATAGTATATGAAGAAAAGGATATCTGAGACTTTCTACTTAAATCAACTCTCAGTGAAAGTAAGTTCATCATTAAAATCAACCACGCGTGAGCCTCGTGTACCCCTGTAAGATACAAAGCTGTTTTTTAAGAGTAGTGGGGGTTCGGCATTGGGCTAAAGCTACACTATGTGTTGCTCATGACACATTTCTAGGAAGGTGTGTGTCAATGCCATAATATCAGCATGTTGCCAAAAGCAAGTCTTTTATTTCAGCCTGCTTGGAAGTGGCATAGTATGTAGACAGTTTTTCTGCTCCTTCAGTATGTCATGTGTTCAGTATGTCATGTGAAGGACATGTGTCATGTCCTTCAGTATATCATGTGTGATAGAGGTTAACTATTGAATTACTAGTGCGCTAGATTTTTAACATACCGCTTTTGAGATTCTCATTACTATATTTAGTTCATCTACTTAGCAATTTCACTGTGAAATTTTAATTTTACAATAATTTACAATAATGACACTTGATGAATTAAAAATCAGCAGGCCAATGTTATCATCTTATTTTTAAAAGTGCAGAATCTAAAAGATTCTTATAATGCTAGAAGAATTTAGAAGTACTGAGTCACCTCAACTTTAAAATAATTTTCCCTGCATATTTTTAGAATGACTTTTTAATTAAAAGTGACAATATCAAATCACATTCACTTATTCTGGCTTTACCTTTCTCAAGGATTATATATAGCACATTCTTTTTTTGTACTGTTAGACTAGTCAAGAAGAGATGGAGCTATTTCTTGTAAAACAGTTATACCTTTTCCATTCCAAAATCATGGAAAACAGCAATTTCTTCATTCATGTGTCTGCAGTTTCTTCTGCATGTTGTACGTTTCCTTTGGAGAGAAGGAACCTACCTTCAGGAGATTCAGACTCCTCACTGCCTTTCCTTATTTCCTTTAATTTGATCATCTGTGAAATCAAGTTACCTGACTTGTGAGGTTTGATTAAATAAGCTAATCTTCATGAGAGATTATCAACTGCATATGAAAACAGGCTGCAACTAGTTCCTATGTTTACTTAATCCATTCAAGATTTTGAAGGAAGAACAAAGGAGCCATTGTGGGGCACAGTGTCTTTCAGCAAGGTGATGGTATCTTGTGTGGAGCAGCTGAAGATTTAGCCAGAGTGTGCAGGAAATGGAGGGATTGGAAGCCCCATATGGAAAAAGCTGTTGATGTTATATATCCTTTATCTCCATTCAGTTTTTGGTGGTGGAACCAAATGTAGAACAGTTAACACACTTGTGTAGTATTGCCTGGGCATGACATGAGTGACAATGAGGAACATGCGTATCTTGCATTTGTAGTTATGATCACCTGCAGTAAGGAGGGGCATTGGGTGGTGTGTCAATTATAGATACATGGGGGCAAACTTCAGGTTTGTTGCTCTGGTGGGACCTGGTGTTACTCTGATGTAATTTATTTAATGATTTACTTTTTATAAGTATTAGAAATTAGTTTCAGCTGCTTTCTTTCTTTGGATGGTGAGACCAAAGTAAAGGCCAAAGAAGAACATATGAGGTTTAAAGAGATACAGTGCTACTAAAAGTTTTCTTAAAAAGCAAATGTTTCCATGGCAACAGCGGATTTGCCATCGGACCCGAAATAGAAACCCACATGCTGTTTCTGCCTGTGGCTAGTGTTAGGTGAATATAAAGAAATTAGAGGTGTCCTGCAGTAACTATAAGCTAGACTGCTCGCTGGCTGAGCTTGGGCCTAGATTGTGAACATTCGACAGAGTTCTCCGCCAGCCTGGTTGTGAAGTCCCCAGTACTGCTTGCTGTGGCAGCTCGGGGAACTCTGATATTCTTAGAGATGGCTCATGATCTTCTAATTCTTCCTGGTATTACGTATGGATTTTCTTTCATTTTCTTCCTGAAGGGCATCATTTCAGTCTTGTCATTTGAGAGTTTCTCTGCGTGCCCGAGGGTCCTTTGAGCCTGTCTGTGCCATAGAAAGGCTGTGGTTGCCACTGTGCCCGTCTTGTGGGCTAGGAAGGCAGAACCAGGCAGCGCACCCGACAGCCGTGGGTCTGGGACATCGGGCCTAGGCTAGCGATGTGTCTGGCAGCACTGGTGAGCTGCTGCAGGTGGTCATTGCAAGCACTTTTCCTAATTCCTCTCCAGCATCTTAGAAAGTGGTTGGGAACAGATTTTCTTTTGCTGCACTTTTAAGAAATCCCATATTCTGCAAGATCCTTTCATCATCCCTGAGTTGTCAGGCTCTCTCAGAGCAGCTGTGTGGTTGTTAGTCATATTCTGGCATGAAAAAAAAGAAAAAATCCTCCCTTAGTTACTCTCTTCTATGTTAAAGCAATATTGAGGCCCTCTCTTCTTTTGGGCTTTCATCATCTCTCCTGTGCTCTAATGGAATCTACTTAGCTTATTTTTATGGGAGAGTAGCTACTCATAAAACAGCTACTACAGCCATATGTGGAATTCAGGTGACTTCCGTGTGACCTGACCACTTTGCACATCCTGAAACTCCTGCATTTCTTCTGCATGTGCCCCTGCTCAGCCCGAAGGCGCGTGTGCAGCAGAGGGGGTCACACAGTCTCCAGTGGTGGGGCCGGTTCTTTCAGCCGCTCTCAACAGTCGGTATCTCAGGATGTGCTAGTGCTCATGTTGGCAAGGACGAGGCACCCTGGTGCCACCAGAAAAGGCTCTGGGCGAGAGCGGGCGGCCGATGGCAGCTCCCCACCTCCGCGGGGCAGCAATTGGGCCGGGCTCCGCACGCTGCCCCCGGCTCCGAGATCCGCCAGGTCCCCAGTTCTGGTTCAACAAAGGAGTTTTCTTGAAATTCTCTGAATTCAGTGCTCATTTAAATGTTTTTAGTTGTGCTCTTGCCATTTTACAGTCTGTTTTTTTTTTTTTCTCATCTAAACTAGGTAACAGAAATCATATGATCAGATAACTCCCAAATAGCTTTGTGTGTCCTCATTATATCCACTGAATTATATCTCACATGGAAAAAAAAAGAGAGAGATTTTTTTGATATTTTTTTCTATTAAAATAGTAACAGCAAACATGAAGTTTCAAGTAATTGTCTGGATTATCAAATACAAAAGAAATAGCAAATTTGTAATATTGACAAACATTTTGTTTTTACCTCCTGTACTGAAGTATATGTCCCTGATCTTACATGCCCTATGTTGCATAATACTGGTATTTATAATAAACAGAATAAGTTTCACTGAAAACATGGATTACTTTGTGAATTAAAACTGTCAGAGTAAATTACATATGATGTCAGAATCTGTTCTGGTCACAGGTAGGGCAAGACTGTTGCTTTGAAATGTTCTGTAACTGTTACTATATATACCTAGATATAATGAACCCACAGGTGGTTTGGTAAGGTATATAAATTTTACTCTGTAGAGTGCACAAGGGTGATGATTAGTAGCAAGAGGCTGTGTTTCAATTTTACTCACCTGTTGGTTATATATCAGTGTTTCACTATAGCCCCTTCAGTTGTAAGATTTTTTTTTTTAATGGATCATTCTTTGTGTAGAGTAAGAAGAGAATGCAAATTTGGACTTACTCCTGAAAAATCATTTTAAATCTAGTTTCTTTAAAACTATGTTACCCTATATGGGAACATTCAGGAAACATTTTGTGGATATAATTGGATATTATTGCAATGACTCTTTGTGTGAATGATACTATGTAAACTAAAAGCTATATTATATTTCATGGTTCTGATTCCAATCAGTGTTTTTCAAAATCACAGTATTTTGCAATAATAGTGTTCATCTGTCTCCTGACTGACAAATGAGTAGTAGGAAATCTATCTCTTTGAAAAATTTCTGTCAGATCAAGAGCTTATTTCTACTTTGTATTTTTTTCCTTAGATTTTTTACAAACCTTTGGCAGCTGACAATAGACAAAGTTGTTGAAAAATAAAAGAACAAAGTATGTTTAATTTCAGCTTTGGGTTTCCAGGCACTGGATAATCATTGTTAGTGTTGATCATCTTAGTGGTTCAAATGTTCTAATTGACAGAAGCGGGGATGCAGGCCATGCAGAGCCTGGCAGAGCTGCTCCAGATTTTGAAGCTGTCTGTGATGTCCAGACAGAGCGGACCTTAGTGCACATTTCCAATAATTTTGCAGGCTGCTCTAACAGGTATGAGGTTGCATGTAATCTCAAGGGACTAGTCAGTGTCACACAAAATTGCCCCATGGCAGGAATGTTGCTGATTACTGGATTGTGTTAAATGAGGGTCTCTCCATATCAAGAAATGATGCTGTCAAGCACTCTTGCAATAAACCACTCTCTCTTTGATAGTGAGCTGCTTAGTCCTTTTGAACTTCAGGAGCGATGTAATGAGTAACCTGTATTATAGGGAAGAGGCTTTACTGGGTTGCAAGTGAAATGCAGTGTAATTTATAATCAGGAACTGTTACCTGCTTTGTGCAAGGATCTTATTCCTTAAGGCTTGGATGAGAGACATTTAAGATGGTGTCAAGTGTGTCAAGTGCTGTTGAAGTTGGTGATAGGGATCGTTTAGGATGGCAGCCTTCACTCCTTTTGAAGGCATTGTCTGCTAGTTGATACATAAAATTACTTCTAGCTTTAAAAATGTCACAGAATTTTTTCGTAACGTTGAAATGTTAACCCTGTTACGTCAGCTTCATACCAACTTGTGAAATTAGTTTGATTTTAATTAAGATAAATTGCTGTTTATCACCTCTGCACCACTTTGTGGAACATAAGTGCAGATATATTTTATTTCTTGTCCTAAAGAAATTGCACTCTGCATTCCCCTTATACTTTCAAATTGATACTGCAATATTCATTTCTTATCCGGCAGTTCAGTATCTTGTGCTGCTTGGTGGGGATTTGAGGAGCCAAAGCTCTTGAACTTCTAAATATCCATAAATCATAGAATCATTTAAGTAGAAAAGGAAGTCCTTAAAGGGACCTTCAAGCCATATCAGCACTGATTCAGACCATGTTTAGGGGTTTTTGTTAAGGGTTTTGGAAACCTTCAAGGATAGATACTCTGCAGTCTCTCTGGGTCCCTCTCCTGATATTTAATTACCTAGCATTTTTACCCCTTAGGATTTTTACCCCTTTATATCCAGTTGGAACATTCCTTGTTTTAATGTGATCCCAGTCTGTTGTTCTGCTGCCATGTATCTCATGCATCTTAGCAGAGACCTTCTCTCCATCTTCTCAGTTACCTCCTTAGCATAGTAGAAGGCTGCATCTCCCCAGAGTCTTCTGTTCTCTCTTCTGTATCCCTCATCTTCTCCTTGTAGTTGGTACAGTTTGTGTGGTACAGTCTCCAGGCTGTACCACTGCAGCAGTTTACCCCCAAGCACAAGACTTTGCATTTGTCCTTGCCGAATTTTATGTGGTTTCTGTTTGCCCATGTTTGCCTCTCTAGGTCCTCTCTGCATGGCAGTCGTGGCCTCCAGCTTCTTGAGTGCGCAGCCTCCCCACTCTGCTGTTGTGCACAGGTTTAATGCAGGTGCATCTCAGCTGCTCCTCCAGGCCCTTAATGCTGCCTGTGGCTTGAAACTGCAGGAAAAGCAGAGGGACTCAGGAGCTCAAGGCATGGTGGTTGGGGGTTGCCTACACTTAAAAATTAATATGGACTCCAGGCAAATGTGAATTTCAGTGAAGCTGTTCCAAAATCACGGTATGCTGGGCATACTCTAGAACGCAAATTCCTTTTAATCCTGTCTGTTCAGTCTGTTCTGGAATAACTTACTGCATAGGAAAGATTTCAAATGAGATTTTTCATTTAGTGACATAGTTAAGAATGAAGCCTTTTTTTTTTTTTTTTTTTTTTTTAATGTTATGTCCTCTATGGAAGTTTGCAAATGATTGAGAATTCTGATGCAGTGTACAATAGTTGGCTGCTTTAAAGATTTTTGATGAATTAATTTCCTTACCTAGTTCTTGTTTTTGTTTACAGTGGGTTCCAATCTTGCAAGACTTCAGAAATAAAGACACGCTCTGGGGCTTTGTACCATATGAAAAGGATGGCTCTTCAGCAGCAGATTCGTTTCCAATTACACTTCACATTGGAGATTACAATATGGATGGCTACCCAGATGCTCTTGCTATACTAAGGAACACATCTGGAAGGTAGAGATGAAATCTTTGAGTTTTATAAATGAGTATCTTGCATCATATTTGCTTAAGAGCTCAGAACATAACTCGGCCTGTTTGTTCGGTGACTTTCACAGGAAGGATGCCCAGTTCACAGCAGCTGGGAGTCGCTTCGTATTAAATGGTTCAGAATTTTTCATGATTTGCTGTAGCTGAGTCAGTAAAATTAGTCTGTGCTCATGGACATTTCCAGAAATCAATTTGGCCTTTTTGTCTTTGTGACTTCTAATGTATATTAAAAGGAGATGCTTGTGTCAGTGGTAAGGAGTTTGTAGTTTTGCAAGATACAGAGCAAGGGAATCTCTTTCAGGGAGCATCCTGTGCAAAGTAAAGCCTGTGGTGACTATGTCTGAAGACAGTTCTTCCAAATTTAGCATATTAACATTGCTGCCCTAACCTCACAACATCTCTGCAATCGCTGAACTATTCAAAACCTGGTATCTAGGTTGCAGGCAGGAATTACATGTGCTGTCACTGGAATAGATGCCACCATCTTTAACAACTTAGAATGGAAATGAACTTTTCTTAGTCTTAATCTTCTTTCTTAATCTTTCTCCTCCTTTTCTTCAGTTCATCTTCCCTACCCGTTGTCTTGCCCCAGCCTGGTGTTAGGCAGGAGTGGACATCTGTGCTGTTACATAGGCCAGGGGTGTTACACATCTCGCAGCGGGTGTCTGGACAAGGCCTGGGCCTTGTGCCCAGCTGCACGTACCGCTCGACCACAGGATGACCTTAGCCTGCTGCTCACAAAGGAGAAGCCTGGGAGGCAGCTCCGGCGGGGCCACCTTGGGTTTTTTTTCTTGAACTGAAGCTGCATGTTCTCCTGTGAACTTGTGCTTGGCAGTAAAAATGATGAATAGAGTTGTTTTATTTCTAAGAACATCCTTTACAGCTCCAAAGAAGGGGCAGGATCTGTGCACCAGGCCGTGGCCAGGCTAGAGGTCAGTTTGATGCTGTGCAGCTCTGGGTTCCCAGCAACTGAAGAGATGTAAGATTATCTGTGCTATTTCCTTTTTCTTTCTTGTGTTATCTACAATAGAAGGAATTTTAATCAATATCTTACAGAGTCTGAGTGCCTGTCATATTGGGATCATTAATGAACACTTACACAGTGTACTACAGGGCAAAATAAGTCAAGTATTTTATACAGGTTGATTTTGTATATTCCATCTACCATCTGTATTGTTTTTCAGATGAGTTTAAGTGCAAGTTCATAGTTGGAATTAATACTCAGTGAGAGTACTGTATTAGAACTGAAGAACTCACTTCAGTGTTTAAAAGAGAATATAGACAGAATTTAGGTGCTTGCATCTAAGAAATCAGTCCAGGTCCTCTATTAGTTGCCAACACCAGAGTTGCTCATGGACATTTTTGGGTTAAGGTGCTCTTCAGATACGTATCTAAAACAAGCCGCAGTCCGGAGGGTCCGTTCCTGGCCCTGCCTGCGGGCGCTGCGATTCCGAGGCAGGGCCGTGAGCTCTGCCCCGGCCCTCGCGGCTCCAGCAGCCCTTCCCATTCCCGGGCGCAGAGCCGAGGGCGGCGCTGCTGCTCCCGCCGGAACGCGCACAGCTGGGAATGCGCCAGCCTGGTGTGCCTGGCCGCCCCTTTTGTCAGCTGGAAGGTTGTGTGTGGAACATCTTTTTTATTGAATAAAGGCTGTAAATAGTCTAGGGAACAGACTAGAACCAATGTCTCTCCTCTTCCACTGAGATACTACAGCATCAAAATTAAAGTTGTTCTCTTTGTTAGTACTTAGGCTCTATATGGCATCTTCTGTACCCTGACACTTTGGGGTACTTTAGAAGGACTTGACGAAGGTGTGAAGACTTCAGAAGGTTTTTTGTTTTTTAAGTTACGTTATCCTTCAAAATTATTAGGTGCGTCCCTCCTCTGGATGTTATATAATTATGATAATATTTTAATATCTAAAAGCTTTATATGGTTGGAAATATTCTTTAAAAAGCCTACAAAGTCACCTACCTCTCACTGCAATGAATACACGTGCTTTAATCCACCTTACTTCTGAAATCGTTTGTTCAGTTGGATGTATCTTTAACTTACTTGGAAACTTGATTTCAAAGTTATACATAGCCAGACATAAGGACTGAAAGCTCTGGCACATGATTTGACAGGCTGCAAAAGGTGATTTCAGAGAGCTAAAGAAAGCTAGGGGAGAGAGAAAAAAAAAAAAAAAGAGGATCTAAGCTAAGAGTTGAGAAATACATTGCTTGTTAACACTGTATTTTTCTAGTATTATTAGTAGAAAAGTAATGGAAAGAGACTCCTAGTACTTTTGGACGGGGATGAAAATCGCATTTTTAGCAGCTACTTTCAAATGTCACTTTGACAATAATATTAAATTGTTGTTTCTGAAACACTTAAGCAAATGCTTCTCTTTAAAATCTCTAACTGGGTCAGAGAGTCCAGAGAATTAAAACAGTGTGGAAATTAAATTAAAAGGCCTTCTTAGATTAGAGCAAATAAAAATGAAAACCTTATTTAATTGATTTTAAACACTTCTGGATCAAGAAGTATTTATTTCCTTCTCTGAAGCTTTTCATACTGTGTCTACAGATCTAATTTCAGTGATTGATTACTGTGATTAAATGATAAAAGCATTTTTATGCACTCTTGACCTCCATTTGTGCTATAGTCTAGGAAGTTGAATTTCTAATTGTTATCTCTAACTTAAAGGAGGCAGAAAGCATTTTATTCATCTGGAAGTATACTGATCTGTGATAATGGAAGAATACAATTAAAATCAATTATATGCTTTTACCATAATGTTGGAAACATTCACAGATTGGGTTTTTAAAACTCCCTGAAAGAAACTGGAAAAGAAATGGATTATTTTAAGAATGACTTTGGTCTCGTTTCCTTTCAGGTGAATAAGTTAAGAAAATGATGAATTATATTCTTATATAACATATTCTTATAACTGCATTAATACTAGTCTGTTAAATCTCCTGCCATATCCTGTTAATTTTGAATAAAAGCGTGAAATATACGGATAGCATGGATAAATTCCTTATTAACAACAACCACGAAAGGAGGCTTGCTGGTACTTAAAATGTGCTGGAGGTTTGAATCCGGGCTATAAATACTAACAAGTGAAGCCATTAAATTCTCAGTAAATTCCTACCTATTATGAATTCTTTTGACTTCTGACTTAAGAAGTTAAAACCTGCATATTAGAATGCCAATCTACAGACTTTTCTTCAGGCTGCATAAGTATATGAATTTTTCTTCCCCCTACTTATGACCAAACTAGAAATTTTTTAAGTGTCTTGAATGATAATACCTAAAAGACCTTTATCATTAGTTATTTATCAGTTCATCTCTGCTTACTATCTTATCTATATGTACCCATTTGTCTGCACTTTAGTTTTAAACAGAATAGTAACATTGAAAGCATAAGTGCTGCATATGAATCTGTAACACACATTTTTGCACAAGATTTGAGCATTAGAATGAAAAACTTGGAGAGAATGTCAGTTTTCATGGTATTCACAGTTAGTTTTTGCGTGCCTCCACTTGAAAAACTTGGAGAGAATGTCAGTTTTCACAGTTAGTTTTAAGATAATATATATGTTTTAATCCTTTGCGTGGCTCCACTTTAAATTATTTTTGTTTGGCAGACTTATTTCTTTCTATAGCCATTGATACTTGTGATTTGTCAGGAGGCAGCCTGGCTAAAGGGCTTCTTGAAAATTTGGGCCTGAGAAGCGGCCTCCCTTTGAGCAAATCTAAAATGTAGAGGCCAGTTCAATGGCAGTGAATGACTGCAGCAAGATAACTAGTCGTTTAGCTGTCCTAGCAGTCAGTGTAAATGAAACGGCCAAAAACTGACAGATACGGGATGTATGAAATTAAGGAGTAAATATTTAATTCTAAGCAATATGTTAAAGTGAGACTCAGCTAGAAGTATCCTGAGCCTGCCTTTGCCTTCCAGCTTTGCTCGTGGCGGTGCGGCCTGGCTGTGAGCGGCGCCGCACGCGGGGCCAGGGCCCGGCACGGGCTGTGGGGGGCGTGCTGCGCCCCAGCCTCGTGCGCCGGCCGCTGCTCGGCCTCTGCTCCGGATCTCAGCCAAACTGTTCCATATCGACTGCCACACGTTTGTGTAGCAGGGGACTGCTGATTTAATATGTTAGCAGTATAACACAGCCTGTCTTCATGCGAGGTTTGGGCTTACTCTATATAGGTTTGCTAGTATTTAATATCAGTATTTTTTCCTTCTGTTTCTTTTTTGTTTTATTTGAGCATAGCTCACCTTAAAGATGAGGTGGCATTTTAAAACACTAAGGCTGTTTATATATAGGTATAGCTTGAAGGCTACAAGTATCTTGTATCTTATGTGCATGTATTTTGAGGCAGAAACAACTGATATTTCAGCAGTGTTAGTTGACTAATGCTAACAAGTTAGCAAATGGCCAAATTCAAATGCTAACATCAGGAGATAGCTTTCCAAATTTTGACCGAGCTAGCAAGATTAGGCCAGGAACATGGGAAAATTAAGGCTCAAATATGAGTAACTAGGGAGTTGAAAACAAGCCTGTAACTTCCTTGTTCCCAACCACAGTACTGGTCCTGGCCCCTTTCAGAAGAGGGGACAGGAGGGTGGGGGAAACCCCTGCGCTGCTCTCAGGCTACAGCATTTCCAGGGAAGCCACAGACCTACTGGGATCATGCCGCTCCAAACTGTGCTTCCTAAAGATGCTTTTAGAGGAAATAAAAGTGCAGTGTTGAGTGCTGGTGTAGAATTGAAAATAATTTGAAGCCATCAATAAAATACAAGGCAAAGAATTGCTTCTGGAATAGACAAGAAACAAGGCTGAGCTTTTAATTAGAAAGCTGGCAGAGCTAGCGTAGGAGCCGGAAAGCAGACCCCGTGCTTGCGGTCAAGTGAGGCTTTCTGTAAGTTCCACTTAAAATCTCTAAGAAGAGCTTCATATTGCAGGTAAACTCAAATCTTGTTCCAGCTCATACTTCTCACCAATAATAGTTGTTTTTGTTTACTTTAGGGATGTGTTATTTTTATGCTTGCTACCCTAGAGATTTCTAATTTTGTTATTGTAGGCAATAACCCTGACTCTTAGACAGACTGTGAATTTATATGACTTCTCACAGAGGTGAAGGTAGCCTGTGTGTGTGTGTAGGTACAGTTACCATTTATAGCACAGCCTGGGAGCTGCTAATTCTACAGGCAAGTTTGCCCTCCTGTTTCAGAAAGGACTCGGCGGGTGCCAGGGGGTGTTGGTGTGAAATGAAGCTTCCTGGTGAAGTGGGTTCCCCAGCAGACGGAGAGCGCTGGCAGCCCTCCAGCCCCCTGCCCGTTCGGGGTTCTGCACAGCTCTGCTCCCTGGCACAGCAGATGCTACAGGGTGTTGATGCAAAAGGGTGGAAAATACTCGCATTTGCCATTTTATTAATATCTTCCTATTTTCTCCTGATTCAGTTGATGCTATATTATTGTTTATCCATTTTGAGCGCTTTTTAAAGTCATCATATGAACACTATCAAGGAAAGGAAATTATAAAATTACTGTAATAAATAAAATTCTTGTGTCTAACCATCCACAAGGTTTATAGTCTAAACCTGAATTATAATTTATATGTGCACTATAATGTGAACTTGAAAATCAGGTGCCTTGTAAATAATTAGCATGTAATCTTTTCCAGCAATTAAGAAAATATGATTTTAAAGAAAGCACCTGTCTAAAATTTCCTGCAAGTTTAAAAAACAGGCAAGTGGTGCATGGCATAATAAAGAAACTGAAACAAGGTGCTCAGCCCAAGTTGTCACCTTACCTTGTAGTTGGTTAATGATACCTGTATAATGCATAAAATACATAAATGAATGGGAGCACTTAATAATTTTGAGTTATGCTTATACAGTTTCAGTTTTTGATAATAAAATATCTCAAATATTGTAGATAATTTAGTTTGCTTTCGGCTGGATCTTAATACAATACATTGCTGCTGCTTACAGCGAAACAGTAAAAAGTGGGTTGTGATAAAACTTTCAATCAAATATAGAGCATAGGAGAAAAGTAAAGGCCTTATTAGTATACTTTGCTGAGAAGCTCAAGAAATGTGATCATAAGGTTGTGAAGGACATTTCCCAAGCTGCCTTCTTGCTGTCGCCGCGTGTTGGAGAGAGCAGACTCCTCCTAAAGCCGTCCCCAGCCGGGCACCGCGGGGAGCTTCTCCGGGAAGTGTTTTGCCCTGCTCCAACTCTGCCTCAGATGGAGGCAGCAGCAGTATGAATAGTGTGGGATATGATTCTTGTAGCAGCAAATGATCTGAGATACACCATAGACCTACCACAGGCTAAAATAAGCTTTCCTTGCGGGAAGCGCTGTGGGTACTGCAGGGTGCGGGCGGGCGCGTTGGGGTTTGCTCCGGCCCGGCCCGAGAGGCCGTTAAGCTGCAGTCCTCGCTCGCTTCCTTGTCCCAGTATCAGAGCTTTTGTCTCCCCGTCTCTCTCTGTTCCGTGTATGTCAGCAAGCACATAGTTTGGTTTGTCTTGTCTTGTTTTTACTGTGGTGGTATTTTTTTGCTTTGACAATAGAAAAACTGATATACTGATAGAGATTTGGGTTACCCTTAAACCAAGGAAAAAAATCGCATGAAAGAGCATTTGTTAATGGAGATGATGTGTGGAGAGCCTGTCATAAAACAATGAAAGTCGACTGTCACTTTTTAAGCAGCATTTAAGCTGGAGGACCAAGAGGGATTAAGAAAATGGCAGATAAATGCACTTGTCTCAGAATAAAGTAAGAAT